AGTGTTGGGGGCTCTGGAAGGACTGCAGAGGATTGGGGTGGGAGGAACTAGGGATCAGGGTGAGATGATTGGGGTTTGGAGGAAGCAGAGGATCCCAGAGGGGGTGCTAGGGGAATGTCGGGGGTCCTGGGCATCGGAGAGGGGACGAACTAGGGGCTGAAAGGGCCAGAAGGGGTTCTGGAAGCCTAGCAGAGATTCCCTGAGGCAGCCGCTCCCAGGATCTCCCCTTTGCCCAACATCAAACCAACTTGCGTTCAGGTGCTGGGCTGGACGGGGTGTGGGAATGAGTTGGGCATTTGTCTGGGGTGAGGACTGGAGGATCTCATCTTGACCCATCTCTGTCTGCAGAGTTATGTCCCCACCGTGTTTGAGAACTACACCGCAAGCTTTGAGATAGACAAGCGTCGCATTGAGCTCAACATGTGGGACACTTCAGGTAGCCAACTCCCTGGGGTCACCCTGACTTCCAAGGCCCTCCTCCCTGGCTAAACCTTTAGGCTTCAGGTCAGCTCAGCCCATCCATCTAATTCTAGGAGGAAGGAAAATCTATTTTCTGCTTAAAGCCAGGGAAACTAAGGCAGAGCTTGCTGACATACATAGAAACCAGTCCTGAAAGAGAAAAGCCCAGTATCCAATCCCCTCCGCTGGATTCTGCCTACCTGGGAAAGTTGAGAAGGAATGTTTTTTTATTTGGGAACATGTGTTTTAGGGGATTGGACTGGGTATAGGAAAGACATTTAGAATTTCTTTGGGTATGGGAACTACTTCTCTAGACTCAACTATAGAAATCTGAGATCAAGTCCCGAGAGAATGGGAGAGCTCTCTCCCTTCTCCAAAAAGGAGGAGGGTTTTTATTTTTACTCTGGTACCCTGGAGGTCATTAGAAGATGTCTGTCAGAGCCCAAAAAGCACATGCAGAATTTTGTGAGAATGTCGATTGATTTCATGAGCTTCTCAGACTCAGAAAAGATGAAGAATAATTACTTTTAGAGAAACCCCTAGGGAAGTAGTGAACTGTTTTCTGCCATCTAACCTCCCCTCTGCCTGCCCCCGCCTTGGAGAAACATAGACTCTTTGATGGTTATTAATAACTGCTCTTTTCCATTCTCTGATCCTAGCATCAGGTCCCCCATTCCCTTCCAGGCCTTCCACACACTCAGGATCCTGGTCTGCCCTCTCCCCTCTGTCTTCTCTCAGGTTCCTCTTACTATGATAATGTCCGGCCCCTGGCCTATCCTGATTCAGACGCTGTGCTCATCTGCTTCGACATTAGCCGACCAGAAACACTGGACAGTGTCCTCAAGAAGGTGGGAGCCTAGGGAAGCAGGAAGCTAGACTGAGGGAGACCAGAAACCATGGTCCTGACACAACATGAATCATCAGCTGGAGAGTGTGTGATGTTCTCATTCTCCCAACCCCCCTTTCCTGAAAATCAGTCCTCAGAGCTGGGTAGGGAATCTGGGGGTCATGGGGGAGAGCAGAGAGAGGTGCTCAAGAGATTCCTTAGCCACCCTCCCTATCTCCTTGGCCATGGAAGCCCCAGATGGACTGGATGAGAATGCTGCTCTGGGAGCTCAGGAAACCCCTGTGGTGTCCTCTCCAGGCCCCTATTTCCATGAGAAAAGCCTATGGTGAAAGGACAGAAGTCAGCTAAGGCAGCCCCAGTTCCCAGGTGGGGGAGGGGAGGGCTGGATTTGTCTGTTCCCAGGAGCAAACTTGGGAAAGGGGGTCAGAATGGGAAGGCTCCAGGCTGGCAGGCGCTTCATGGCCCCTGAATTAGAAGCAGAGTGCAGACCTTCCAGCCCTCCCCCAGCCCTCTCCGCCCTCCCCCTCTCCCACACCCCATCTCCGCTTTCAGCTCAAGCCCACCATCCCACCTGCTTGCTCACACAGGAGTCCAGAGGGGTGTTGGTTTCTGCATGCTCTGATAAAGGGTGGCCTCCTGGTGTGGAGCATGGTTCACCCTTAACTCTACTTTCTTTCCCCAAATAGTGGCAAGGGGAGACTCAGGAGTTTTGCCCCAATGCCAAGGTTGTGCTGGTTGGCTGTAAACTGGACATGCGGACTGACCTGGCCACACTGAGGGAGCTGTCCAAGCAGAGGCTTATCCCAGTTACACATGAACAGGTGGGACCCTTGACCTTTGACCTCATCCCAGCCTAAATCTCCCACTTCTGACCCTCTGAGTCTCTGATTTGAAAACACCCTATTTTATTCATCCATTGTCTTGGCCTCTAACCTCTGATTTGATCCCTTGACCTCCTCCCTCCCCCAGCCCTCAGCCTCTCTGCGCCTTGCTGAAGCTGCAAGCTAGGCCTCATAACTTCCTTCATGCACTCCATCCTTCCAGGGCACTGTGCTGGCCAAGCAGGTGGGGGCCGTGTCCTACGTGGAGTGCTCCTCCAGGTCCTCCGAGCGCAGCGTCAGGGATGTCTTCCACGTGGCCACAGTGGCCTCCCTTGGCCGTGGCCATAGGCAGCTGCGCCGTACTGACTCACGCCGGGGACTGCAGCGATCCACTCAGCTGGCAGGAAGGCCAGACCGGGGGAGCGGGAATGAAGGCGAGATACACAAGGATCGAGCCAAGAGTTGCAACCTCATGTGAGGAGCCGGCGAGGGGCAGAGTGTCAAGAGGGGTGGTGAAGGGCACAGTTGTTCCCCTGCCTGCACCCTGGCTTCCTGACCTCCTGCCTCTGGCTGGAACTTCAGGGCAGGCTGAGTGAGCAATTCTCCTGGGCAAGGGACCCAGAGGCAGAGGGTGCCACCATTCCCAGCATCCTCACCCCCCTCCTCTCCACAGGAAGTTGAGGG